CCCCTGATCACTTTTTTTTTTTTTTTTTTTTTTTTTGAGACGGAGTTTCGCTCTTGTTACCCAGGCTGGAGTGCAATGGCGCGATCTCGGCTCACCGCAACCTCCGCCTCCTGGGTTCAGGCAATTCTCCTGCCTCAGCCTCCTGAGTAGCTGGGATTACAGGCACGGGCCACCATGCCCAGCTAATTTTTTGTATTTTTAATAGACGGGGTTTCACCATGTTGACCAGGATGGTCTCGATCTCTCGACCTCGTGATCCACCCGCCTCGGCCTCCCAAAGTGCTGGGATTACAGGCTTGAGCCACCGTGCCCGGCCCCGATCACTTTTAATATATTGAAATCAACCTCTGTCAGCCGTAGGGCTGAATCTAATGATCTGGCCCCCTCAGAAGTCTGTCTTTCTACTTCACATTCCTCAGGACTTGACTGTACCCAGTAGCTTGCCAATGGAGGGATGGTAGATAAACGAAAGACCACGCCTACAGATTGGCTGCCCTTCTTTACTAGAAAAGGGAGGCTGCTGGGGAAACCAGAAGCTACTGCTAAAGTTTTGAGGCTGATGTGAACCACTAATTCTCCTTTCCAGTATGAAATGAAGAGTTTCTTGGGTTTTGTTTGTCACTGCAGCTGCTATGTATGATGAAGTAGAATTATCCCATGAAGAAAACAAAATTTATTTCTTAAGTGACGAAAGCCAGAAATAATACCCTATGACAAGAGGGATCACTTGCACAATAGTTTTTTACACATATGAAATAATACTGGTAATTGTGGGTAATTAAATCCCTGAAGATTCTTCTGTTGTGATGTGACCTTGTGAGGTGACTGAGTTTCATGGCGGTATAAGGACCAGTCTTGGTGCTAAAACACTAGCTCTACTATTTAGTGTCATATCAAGTCAAACTCTCAAGTATGCTTCTAAGTGAAATACAGGATCTAATACATGAATTTGATATGAAAATTGAATTTAACAATGGATTTCAAAGGTCTCAAATTTAAAGTGTTATGAAAAATAGCATGCATTGTCCTGAGAGTATTTCTGGCCCAGTGACATAGATTAGAAGTAGGACAACTGATTATCCCACCTTCCTATTTGATGATCACACCTGGCAACAGCTGGTGTTCGAGCTAATTCACATGACAGAATTATGGAATCATTCTTCACATTTCTGAGCTACCAAGGTTTATATGGCTCAACATTTCCAAAAGAGCTATCAGTGTTAGTGTTTTGTTGTTTGTATCTTGATCCAAGACCTTTTTGCTATATCTGTCCTCTTTGTGCTGCATTTACATAACATACACCATTAGCAGCCATGTCTTATGAATTATCCTGTAGTAACAGTGGCTGTACATTAATCTATACACACTATTATATCATTTTGGAAATGAGTGGTAAAATATTTTAATCCAGAAAATAGTATGAAATTGGTGAACTTGAGTCTCCCTGCTTCACTTTTATCTACCCCCAACACACTAAACATTACTTGTCTTAACTCTCCTCAGAAAACCAATATCTTCATATTTTCTCCTTCCTCTCCCTATCTGTAATTCTGGAGAAAGGATCTGAAATAGTTTGTAAACAAAGAATTGCAATATTATCTATCTCAGGGTGTGAGCTCATTGTGAATCAAAGCGTTAAGTAAAAAGAAGCCTGACTAAAGACAGTGGCCAATTAATGAGAAGTTTTATTTTGGATAGCAGGCCTTCTTAATGCTCCCAAAGTCCCTCCTAAAACTGGTAACCCTTTGGGGAAATGACTTCTTTCATCTGATTATGAGACAACTGGCCTAAGGGGCTGATGTCCTAACAGAAAATGAAGCCAATCTAGAAGATTGAACTCATATCTTCATTCATGCTATCCAACTCAAATTCTCTCTATTCCGTCATCAAAAAAGTCATTTAGGCATTTTGACAATAATAGCCACATTGTCCAGATAATCTTATCCAAGATAGCAGCTGTTTTCCTTGTGAACACAATAATCTCTGACCTTGAAAGAACGCCATTTGAACAGTGACAGGTGATCATTGGTTAAATAGGGTCTGGGCACTCTTTAGTCAACCACAAGAATGCAGGTAACAGTGATGAATTCAAAACAGTGTTCATTGAATGTGCCTTCAAAAAAGGCTTAAAAGACCATTCATTCACATCTACTGTCTGGTCATACTAGCAGAATAAAATTCAAGGGCTTTACCTATGTGAATTTTTGTTATTGTTTGTTTTGTTTTGTTTTATACCAAATATTATAACAACCTATGTCTTAGTTTGAAACTGTAAAAACCTTAAAAGCTTTGTGATTTACCAAAAATATTCTATTGGGGGCCAATGCCCTTTGGAAATCCTTTTAGAAGTAACACATTCTAGCATGTTACTCTTGATAAGACTGCAATATTGATAACATGTCAAAACCATTCCCTTCTTTTGCACACATTAAACTGAAAATGGCAGCTTTGACGTAAGACATCTGCTTGTGAATTCATTAGCTAAACTATTATCAGCAGAGCACATTTATGTATCTTGTTAAAATTGTAAGTTCAAAACACGTTTTACTGGTGATTCATTTTCCTGCTCCTCTTCCCAAAACATTTGTGTTATGGGTATGGAAAGGCATTTTATTTATTTTTCAGATAATCTGGTAATTAGATTTCATGTGTGATTATTTAAAACATAACCTTCTTTTATTGCTCTTTTTTGAAGGAAATTGCTACAACCCTTTGAAATGAAAATCTTAAAATCTAGCATTTAAAGCATTATTAAAACAGCAACCAGATAACATTTTAGTCAGTTTTTATCTTTCTCCTTTCCTACGACATGGAAATAGAGCATTACACTAATGCCTCTAGATTTTTCCTGCTTTGCATTTTTCCTTGCAGATGGTAAATAGTTCTCAAGTTTCTGCTCACATACTGCATTCTATATTCCATTGTCTTTTACTAACCAAAAGGAAGTTAAGAAGTTTCTCCAATTTCAATAAATTACTTCATAATTTACCCATAGTTTTATCCATAAACCTAAGAACCATCCTTGATATATTTTTATCATACTCTCATATCCCTTTTATATACAAGTTCTGTATTTTCTACCTCCACAACATGTATCCAAACTCATTTACAGCTCTTCTTTCTCTGTGTGTACCATCCCAGTATAAGCCATCATCATCCTTTCTTATAATCATATTTCCATATCAACTGGCCAGTTTCTTTCTCTCCAATCTCATTTCAAAGCCTCTCTCTGTCACCACACAACTCGGTCTCCATTGGCCTCTTTCCTGTTCCCCAAACAAGCCTTGCTCTTTGCTGTCCATAGATTTTGCTTTTCTTCTTCTATTGAGAATGCCTGGAATACTAATACTGCCCCAGTTTTTCCCATTACTTCACCTTATCCTTCAAGACTACTACCCTCTGTTTTTAACCTTCCCTAAAGTAGCCCACCACTTATCCTAACCCATCACCTTGCTTACTTTTACTTAACAATTTAAAGGCAGGGCTCAGTGTCTCCAGCACTGTAATCCCAGCACTTTGGGAGGCGGAGATGGACGAATCACAAGGTCAGGAGTCTGAGACCATCCTGGCCAATATGGTGGAACCCCATCTCTACTAAAAATACAAAAATTAGCCGGGCATGGTGGTGCGTGCCTGTAATCCCAGCTACATGGAAGGCTGAGGCAGGAGAATCGCTTGAACCCAGGAGGTGGAGATTGCAGTGAGCAGAAACGGCACTATTGCACTCCAGCTTGGGTGACAGAGTAAGACCCCATCTCAAAAAAAAAAAAAAAAAAAAAAAAAAAATTAAAACATTCTGTAGTTAGAGTAGACCCTGCTTATCCACGGTTTCACTTTCCATGGTTTCAGTTACCCATGGTCAACTACAGTCTGAAAATATTAAACGGGAAATTTCAGAATTCATAAGTTTTAAATTGTGACTGTTAAATCTGAGTAGGGTGTTGAAATCTCTCACTGTTCAGCTAAAGCCTAACCAAAACATGAAACATCTTTTTGTCTAGCATGTTCATATGTAAACACCAGTCAACTAGTAACCGTCTCGGTGAACAGATAGAATAAATACAGTGTATAGAAGGCATATACATACCAATGGTTTCAGGCATCACTGTGGGTCTTGAAACATGTACCCCCACATACACCTATGATTAAGGGGTAACTACTGTGTCATATTTTATCTATTTCTCAATTTAGTGTGTACCTTGACTAGTAGGTAACTTAGATCAAAGCAAAGACCATGTCTTTTCAGTGCATGGCTGTGTCCCTTGAAATAAAAGGATTGTGTGTCTCAGAGTAGGCACTCAATAAATATTTGCTAAACAACCGAATGAATGAATAATTAAGTGAACGACTGATGTCAGATTCCACTGAGATTCCCGAACCTTTTCATACATCTTTAGGCATCAGTGATAGACTGATAGCTAGTTACCCAAGACAAGTTTTCTTACTTACTCATTTACTTTTGATTCTGCCTTGGACTATTGATTGTTTTCATTAATAATAATAATAACAGCCGGGCGCGGTGGCTCAAGCCTGTAATCCCAGCACTTTGGGAGGCCGAGGCGGGTGGATCACGAGGTCGAGAGATCGAGACCATCCTGGTCAACATGGTGAAACCCCGTTTCTACTAAAAAAATACAAAATATTAGCTGGGCTTGGTGGCTCGTGCCTGTAATCCCAGCTACTCAGGATGCTGAGGCAGGAGAATTGCCTGAACCCAGGAGGCGGAGGTTGCGGTGAGCTGAGATCGCGCCATTGCACTCCAGCCTGGGTAACAAGAGTGAAACTCCGTCTCAAAAAAAAAATAATAATAATAATAATAATAATAATAATAATAATAACAGTGCTTTGGGTAACTAGTAGGAAAAGCAAGAGCAGTGATGCTGACACATTCTGAATGTCTTCTGGATGACGCACTCCGTATCCAAACAAATAATTTCCGCCCATCAATCATTCCTCAACTTCCTGCAATGAAACTCCCTGGAGGAGTCATCAGATTATCGATCTTGCCTGAAGACTGACAAGATGTCCCTGTGGACTCCCAAACTCTACTCCAGATGGAGAGAGGTCCTTAACACCAAGATTTTAAAAGCTACAATTTCAGGGCAAGAGTAGAAAACTCACAGGGAAAGTCACGGTTGTTTCAAGGTTCTGAAAAGAAGCAGAACATGAAGGTAAGTAAAGGCTTTATTCACTTGAGACTTCTTAGCTATTTTTTAAAACCCCTTTATAGCATTTTACCTATTTCATGTTTAATAAGCATTTTAAGGATATTTGAATGATACGTCTTTAGAATAACAGAATCATTTGATTTTACTAAGAAAAATGCACGTATTTACTTATTCTTCATTTGCGTGAAGTAGTAAAAATAACATTTCTAGATATGTTTTTTTCAATTAACTAGAAGATAGAAGGGAAACACCTCCAGAAACTGAGTACTGAAACAATATTTCGAGAAGTAAGGGATTTGTAACTGTCCAGGAGGTCAAGGAAGGAAGAAGAAGATCCTATTGGCACAGAAATGACCCTTTCTGGTTGATCATATCATACAGGGACTCAGAAGTCTAGCAGCAACAACCTTGGCTCTTTTCCTGGTGTTTTTTTTCCTGGGAAACTCCAGTGGTGCTCCGCAGGTAATCAAATGGAATAAATAAATAAATTTAATTAATTAATAAATTAAAAATGCGCACTGTGTGTCTACTCTGCTCTTTCTTTCTTCCTTCTTATTTTATTGTCTTCTGTTTTTTCTTTATTTTGCTGTATTAGAGGACTGAACTGCAAAGTTTAATTAACTGCTCTTCCCTTCTCCCGGGTTTTAGAGACTGTTGGAGAGAAGGAACTGGACTCCTCAAGCTATGCTGTATCTGAAAGGGGCACGTAAGTTCCAAATATTTTGCTTTTCCTATAATAACGGAATACCCTTAGGAGTGCATGAATCCCTGAACAGATAGATGGAGAGTTATGAAGAGAGAAAAATATCGAGTTTATTCCCTTAAATCGTAGAGGCCATCAAAGAGACCGGTAGGTGAGGGAGGGGTGGGAGAAGGGAAGAGTCCCTGAATATTAGAAATCCTCCATCCTTATTAGAAATCCACCATCCTTAAATGGAGGTTTGCTTGTCTTGGTCCAAATGGGATCTCGGGCTGCCTGGGAAATAACCGCACCGGCCATGAACCCGACCTCGGCTCCAAAGCGCCCCTGCGGCGTCTGGCCAGGCGCGGGGCTTTCTCCAGGTCTCCAGGTCTCCAGGGCGCCTGGCTCCGCCGGAGGTTGCGCTGGGAGCGCTGGAAGCTCGACAGCCCCCCGCGACCCTAACCTGGAGCAACCTGCCCCCTCCCCACGCCCGGGGACTGCGCGGTGCCGGGAGGAGCTGCGGTGTAAGCCCGGGTTGTCCCGGGCAGGGCGGTCGTTGAACCCCGGGTCTCGCCCTTGCAGAGGGTCGGCGCTTCATCTCCGACCAGAGCCGGAGGAAGGACCTCTCCGACCGGCCACTGCCGGGTGAGTGACCAGGGTGCAAGTTCGCTAGTCCTGCGCTTTGGGAACAGGATGGGGCGGGCAGGGCTTGCTCCGCGCTGGCGCCAAAATAAAGTATCTCCCCACCGGGAAGACGCGGCTCGGAGTCGCCCTGAGCTGCAGTCGGCCAGGGCGCAGCCCACGTGCGCAGCAGCAGCCGGACGCCGAGCGCCGGAGCCGGGAGCTCGCGCATCCAGCCCCGCGCCAACAGTGGCAAGGGCGGCTCAGGCTGGCGCTGCGGCTACCCTAGCTTTACCCGCTTGCGGCTGCTGAGCCAGCCATCCGGCCGCCAGGGTGTGCAGAGGTCCCCAGGGAGTTAGGGCCTGAGGTTCAGCTCAGCGGGGTAAGGAGAGAAAGGAAGAACTATGCAAATGCTTCTAGAAATGTATCCGCGTGTTTCTGCAGGAACTTTACTCAGCCTCCTCTTAAACACTTACTAACAAAATGGGAACTTACCTAGGAACTTCAAATGCATGCTTCTGTTTTACTAGAAAGAACTGTCAAAGGCTCAAAATCAAAAGAGTAACATGCGGGCCGTTAAGGATGGGACCACGGACTGTTCTTTTTCATGGTGAACCTTTCCACCGTGCTGTATTAAAAAAATAACAGCACAATTCGATAGAATTGTGGAGATCGAAATGCTAAAAGTAAAAAGTATACTTACTTTGAAAAATATCAAACACTGTTTGAACACATAGTAGGTGCTTAAATTTTAGTGTAGGCTCCTCAAACATGCTGTGTAATTGTGGTTATTTATTTCATGAGGGTAAAATTTGTTTTTCAACTTCAGTTGCCCCAAATTAGAAATCATGTTTTGTGCTGAATCGAATCAGAACAATTTGTCTTTTTTCAACTTAGATTTGAAATAACTTTGAATTATTAACAGATACTCCTTCAGTCAAATAATTACCTCATATTTGGCCAAAAAGGTAAATTATTATCTAAAATTCTCTTTGATATTTTAAAATTATCTTCCATACCTGGTTTGTAAACTTGACATACCAATTGTAAGTCATTTCCAAAGCAAATGTGAAATGTTTCCATTTATACAAAATTAGTCTTCTGCGTAAGGAGCCCTTTCTTGAGAGGTCAAAATCTATTTCATAGAAGTTTTTCTAGTGTTGTAGCATGTTAGAATAAGACTTACCAATATGAATATATAAATGCTAACAGAATCTGTATACATTTTCGTTTCTCCAGAAAGACGAAGCCCAAATCCCCGACTACTAACTATTCCGGAGGCAGCAGCCATCTTACTGGTGACAGAAGGTACTAACATAGTGGCCTCTTTCACCTGCACTGACAGAACAGCTTTGCTTACTTTCAGGATTCTGTGTTAAGTGCAATGCCCCTTGCCCAGAAATTTACAGAGATGTTTATTCTGTAAAGACCAGTATATTTCTCACTGAAGCGAGTCCCAAGAATATAAAAACATTTCCTTGCAAGACTGGGGAATTTTATATGAATTTTGGCATTCTTAGCCTATGGTAACTTTTATTTATTTATTTATTTTAGAACTTTTAAAACTGAAAAAGCTCAAAGTCCAACTGCATTATCTTATAGTTGAACAAACTGAGGCCAAAAAGATTAAATAATCACAAATCCAATTGCTCGTTATTCAAAGTTAAACCAAAGGAAATCAACAATTTTTTTTTTCTTAGAAACACAGCAGTTTCATATGGTTCACCCAAATAGATATGGGCCAGTTCTGATTCCAAACCTGTATAACTTTCACTATCCTATGTAGCTTTTTCTATACCAGGATTGGATCTAATCTTCAAATAGAAGTACTGTGTCCATGTAGCATTAAAACTACTGGTTGAATTGTGGCATCTTGGTAACGGAGCAACCACGTTTTGGGAGTCTAACAGACTTGGGCTTAAATTCTGGCTCTGCTGCTTGTTAGCCTGGTCAACCTGAGCCTTAGTATCATTATCAATTAAATAATGAAATAATGGTATTCATGTGCAAGGTCTCTACAAGAACCCAATGAAACAAGTTATATCATTCTTATTACTATTATGAAGTCATGAACTGTAACAAATAGACTGAAAATTTTCTCTTTCAAAAATTGTAATGATGCCATATTTGTGAAATAATTTACATTTTAAAATGTGTAAAAAACATGTAGTCCCAGCTACTCTGGAGGCTGAGGCAGGAGAATCGTTTGAGCTCAGGAGGCGGAGGTTGCAGTGAGCCAAGATCATGCCACTGCACTCCAGCCTGGGTGACAGAGAGAGACTCCACCTCAAAAACAAACAAAAGAACATGTGGTTAGTGGTCTGGTGGTCGAAGCACATGCTGCTGGCCTAGTTCTATAACATCTGTGCTATTGGAGAAAACGTGTGCTCTGTGCCTCATACTGGACAGCCCATGTGGGAGAAGGGAAGAGAGCAGAAGGCACTTTCTGGCTTCAAACTTTGGCTTTGCTGTCAAAAAATGCCTGTGAAAGGCAAGTGGAAGAGAGTGGGATTAAAAAAGTCTTTTGAACTCAGAGCAAGACCAGGGATAAGGCATGAAGAGAAGACAGTGCTTTTCAGATATTGGATATACACTATCCTCACACTAACCCTAGGAGGTAGGCACTCATCCACATTTTACCCATGAGAACATAGAGGCTCAGAAAGATTAAGAAACTTGCTCACCATCATACAAGAGGTGCATAACAGAACTGGGATGAAAACAGGAGGAAACTTGGTCTTTGAGAATGAATAAGATGATCTATTAATTTTCAGCCGAGAGATGACAAGGTGAAGGAATATGAGTCTGGTTATGATACATAGGGTAACAATAAACGCAATGTGTCAGATATTATTGCTAATCTTTCTAGCTCAGAAAACTGAGCTTTCAAGAGATGGCCTTACCTTTTTAGGATCACATAGATAGTAAGAAGTGATATCAAGATTTTAACTCAGATCTGTGTGATTCTATAGCTCTCTCAATTATTCCATGCCACCTCTCATATGAATTGGATCAAAGAGGAAAGGCTAGAGTGGAGAACCAATAAGAAATTCAGAAAATAATACAGGAGTGAGGTGATGAGGCCCAGTCAGTCAGTGGGAATGGATGCAGGGTCTCAACCCTGAGGTATACCAGAAAGAATAGATGAGTGGGATAGCTGTTCACTAAAGATGTAAGAGAGAACCCAAAGTCAAGCACATTTTTAAAGTGTTGTGTTTGAGAGTTTAAAATGGTGATGATGATAATAAGGAGTGGAAATTTTTGTGAATATGGAGAAGGATTCAATTCAAAGTGACAGGGACCTTCTAGTCAATAAAGTTATGTGGGTCAGAGTTCTCCACTATTCATCTGTGGACTGGTGACATCAGAATTACCTGGAGAGATCACTGAAAAAAAAAAAAAAATAGAGATTTCTTGGCCTTAGGCCTAGAGATTCTAATTCTGTACTGCTTGAGTGAGGCCCAAGAATCTCTGTCCTTAAGGAGTTCTTCCACACTATTCTGATGATTAGTCAGGTTTGAAAACAATAAGAACTTCAGAGGCAGTTAATAAAGGTTGAAATCTTGAGAATGGAGATACCTTCTAGGGCTTAGATATAATGGGAAAATGGAAGATAATAAAACACCAAAAAATCAAGGAAATGGGGGAAAATAGTATCCGTGAAGGGACATTAAAAGGAGCAAGCAGAAAGGTAAGCGGAAAATCAGAATAACCGAGCATCCCAGAATTTATTCAGTAGTGATGCTATTGATTACTGCCCTCTTGAAACTTTCCAAGGATGGAAACTATCAGAATGGTTAACTATAGCAGAATGGTTAGTAAGAATATACAGCTCAGGGGACTTTAAACAGTGCATCACAGGACATCTCCCCACCTCCCGTCCAGTGACACGACTTCCTTCTACTGTGCTGTATCTCAAACCTTGTGTAGACAGAATTTGGTACAAGAAGGTATACTGCAAAGTTAAGAGAAAGTGGGGTCCAAGGCTCCGGAGAGCTGGCATTACTCTCAGAACTCTTGCAATGAAAAGGTGTGAAATAGTTGAGTAATGGGTAGAAGATGCTGTATCCAAGGTGATCTTTTAAAAATCCTAGATGTGGAACCCAGCAATTTTTGAAGTCAGTAAGAACAGAGCTCTGATGGAGATTAATAGTGACGTTTTAGATTTGATTGTTGGGAAGATGTGCAGAGCCAGAAAGGAAAGTGACCTGTAATGGACAAGAGAGAGCTAATTTTAAAAAGGAGAGGTATCTTCATTAGTAATTTGAGGAAAGGATGTGATTATAGGTTCCCATCTCTTTTTTGGAAAATAAATATGTATTTTTTTAATTACTGAAGTTTTCTAAGTAGATGGTCTCTGAAGATGAAATGACTAATTTTATCAGTCTAAATCGATCGAAAAGTTTTTGATTCCCAAATGATAAATTAATCACTAGTATTAATCACTTTAGTACTTTTTTCTATACTCCCTTGATATTATTTAGAAGGCTCTTATTTTATGTAGTGAATATTGGTTTCAGAGGAATTTATACAGGGATAGTGTTCTGGTTTTGTTTTGTTTTGTTATCTTCCTTCCCTTTAAAGAGAAGCCCATTCTCTGCAATGGTTTAAAGTGTGCTAGAAATACAGGTTACGATGTAACCCAGGTATTCAAATTATATTGCAACCAACAGAAAGAATGTGGTTTTATCTAGAGGTGATCTTAGATGAAATTTGAAGATGCACTTTGCCCTAGCACTTTTTCTCCCTACCTTATTGTAACTTTTAGTCATTCTATCCTGTTTTTAGAGTCCCAGGAACCTGCTATTGTTCGACTCTTTAAGTATCCCCACCTCAGGCTCTAAAGTTTTGCCATCTCACCCAGGATGAGAAACTTTCTCATTTCCGCCCCCAGAACTCTAGCTCCCCTAATAAAAGAACATTTGCAAATGTGTTCCTATGTCATCTTTCCCGAGTAAGATCCATTTTCACAGGAAATATAAAGAGATAGTCCTTTGATGAAAGTGAATTATTTTCGTGGCAGGTATTTTAGACATAAGTCAGTTTGTGAGAGCAAGACACATGGCTCTTTCAGATTTTTACCAGACGTCCCATATTGTAGTTTCATTCATTATAGAGATTCAGATTTAAAATATGAAACCCCCAATGTGTCCCAAGCTGAGAAGAAAAGACTTTAAACTGAACAAATCAAAACCTGTATTGTTTAAATTCTCAGTAGCAGAGTTCACGAGTTAACATAACTTAGAAGGCTAAATGTTTATTTACTGAGATTCTCTTTGTCTTACCTTTTCCTCTATTAATTTTCCTCTATTACATGCAGAGCATATATTTATTTTAAACAATTTGTTTTCTTACAGATGAAGAAAAAAACTTTGATCAAACCAGCTTCCTGGAAGATAGTCTGCTAAACTGGTGAAAATATACTAGATTATGTTTAATTATGGTTCTAGTCTCTTTGAAAACATGAACCATATGAATAAAACCTTTGGACTCTTTTATTCCATTTGTAATCTTAAGAATACACACAGATAGTTTTATTCTTTCAGAAACAGAAAAAATATATAGGATGCTTAGCTGAGAACATCATCACCTTCTTTCATTGCTTCAGGTCCTGTTTAGATCACCAAAAATGCTGAGATCACCTTGTGTCTTACTCTTGAGTTTCTTAGAATATTTATAATTATAAGGCTGAAGACTAAAGTGTTCTTTCCTTTTTTTTTTTTTTTTTTTTTGTTACCCACTTCCATTTTGTTTTCACTCAGCAGAAATTCTCCCTCTCTGTTTTCCTTTTAACCCATCCCAAGGAGGTGGGATGAAGGTAAGAAGCTTGGCAGGATGGGAAATGGAAGAGTATGACTCTCTAGAGCTCATCCAGGAGTGGTCAATTAAGAAGATAAATTGGATGGCTGGGGAGAAGCCCTGTGATAGGAACACTTCAGTGTGGTTGCTGGGAGGAGACAGTCATTGAGGTAGCAGGTTTGCCAAAGGTCCAGAGCTTGGAGCTCCCTTTGTAATTCTCGTTGGGAACTACCTTGCATTCAGTTTAGAAACATGTATGTAAAAGTTACTGGGAAATAAGCAATAAAGACACACTCTGTTGTTTACATACTGGAAGAGGGAACAAGCCAGTTTTGTTAAAAGTAACTCATTTTCCATGGCCAAACAGACTCAGCAGATTCATGTACTCTGCTTACTCTAATTGACTAGACTCTAGATTTTATTTGACCTCATAGCATTACATAAATCACTCTGATAACGTAAGTACACAGTAATATGCCTGATTTCCTCCTTTTTAAAAGCCAACTTGAGTTCAGTACCATCTGAATATACACACACACATACATACTCCTGTGGCAAACATAATAATGTATTTATTTAAAATTACAATTTTAAATTATATGACCATCATGTTAATCATTTTTTACCTAATTCAGAGTTGTTATTGACAAATGTCATAAGTGGAAAGTATTGTTAATTTTTATTGTCATAGTATGTAGCCATTATTTAATAGCCCAAGAATATCTTTATATGAATATCTCTATAATGTGGAATTGCAATTTCACTATGTTAAGTAGTCAGAACTCTGCTTTATGTGTATCTTGTTTCATAATAAGGAAACTAAATTCAAGTTAATGTAATGTTGATCTCTGTCAAAAAATAACTTGTGAGCATTAAAAAAGTCTATGTGACGTTATAATAGGCACTTGTCATTAATTATGGTTTGATTTGAAAGTAGATTTACTAGGTAGTGCTTACCTCCAATTTATTAAAATTTTTTTTTCCAAAAGCATTGTTTTTGTTTATACAGAGTCCTAACCACTTTACCATTAGGCGGCGTGGGATATTAAAAATTATTTACTTATCAGACACGAACTTTTACATATTGACTATTCAAATAGTATGTGTATTCAAAGAACCCTTTTAACAAAAATCTGTCTTATGAAATAATTCTTCCCACAACTAACCAGAACAGTCTCAAAAATTTCATACTAATCATTGTTTTAAAAAGCTGTCTCAATGACCAATAGCTGTTAAAATACAGCTTCACATATGCCAAGTACTCAAATTCCTAGAATGTTCACATGTACAGATGTGCTAATTAATTACAAAGGTCCCTCTTCCCAATTTTCTATACCTTTCCAACTCTCTATGGTGTCTGCATACTCTTTATTCCTAGCTTTTTAAAAAACTGAAATGGGTCAGGCATTGTGGCTCACGCCTGTAATCCCAGCACTTTGGGAGGCTGAGGCAGGAGGATCACAAGGTCAGGAGTTCAAGACAAGCCTAGCCAATATCGTGAAACCCCGTCTCTACTAAAAATACAAAAATTAGCTGGGCATGGTGGTGCCTGCCTGTAGTCCCAGCTACTCAGGAGGCCGAGGCAGAAGAATCGTTTGAATCCGGGAGATGGAGGTTGCAGTGAGCTGAGATCGTGCCACTGCCCTCCACTGCATCCCAGCCTGGGTGACAGAGCAAGACTCTGTCTCAGAAAACAAACAAACAAACAAAAATGAGCAAGTGATCATAGATCAGAAAACTTTCACATTGTGTGGCTTGTGTATCTAGCCTTCAACATAGATATATGGACTAGAATACCCTGGTCTCTAGGTAGGGCTTTCAGCCACTTTCCGCACAGTTCCCACTGCCTTTCCCTTTTTCTTCCCTTTTTTGTATCTATAGCCTACCTCGGCTATCTGGCCTCCATTGTGGGATCTTAATTATTCTTTGCTTTTCAGAAGTTGCCTTCTCTCCCCCAATACCACCACTGTGGTCCTAAGAGAGGAGAGAAGAAGGCAAAAGGGCCCTGGCTTGCTCAAGTCAGTCTCTGGCTTGCATTTCTTCTTTACCTGGTTATGATAAATAAAAACGTGTATCTTATCAACCTTGAATGACATTATTTTATCGTGACTAAAAAGAAAGGGAAGTTGGGAATGTAACTTCATTCTGTTCAGTCTCTTTATACTGAACTGTAAATTTCTTTAGAATGAGGTCATTTTCATCTGATTTCATCCTCACAACCACTGTGTGAAATGGGCCATCTTATCACCCATATTACTCATAGATAATTGGGCTCATTCCATGAAGACTCTTTGGACCTCTCTAAGTAGACTTGACCAGTCCCCCTTCTGAGTCTTCCTTGTACCCTGGAAAACTATTAGTATACACCCATAACATTTTGTACTCTCATCCGTTTATGTGAAACCAGGTCTGTGCAATCTAACTCTTACCATGGAAGGAACGGTAGTGTCTTGATCAGTGCAGGCTGCTGAAACAAAATACCAAAAACTAGATGGCTTATAAACAACAGAAATTTATTTCACACAATTCTGGAACCTGAGAAGTCCAAGATCAAGGTGTCAATAGAACCAGTGTCTGATAGAAGGCCCATTCTCTCATAGATGGCACTTTCTTGCTGTGTCTTCACGTGGTGGAAAGGGCAAGGTGGCTCTCTGGGGCCTCTTTCATAAGGGCAGTAATTCTATTCATGAAAGCTCTGCCCTCATGATCTAATCATTTCCCGAAGGCTCT